GCAATCTTCCTGCCTCAGCTTCCTGGCTTCTCGGGTTACAGGTGCATGCCACCATGAGGGACTAAAGGGTCATGTAGAAGTCTCCAGCCATTGTCCTAAACCCACAGTCTCCTTGGATCCCCAGGAAAAGCAGAGCTTCAAAGACCCCTCCATTTGGAGGTCAAACGCTCTGTCTCCTGCCAGGGAAGGCATTGCCCCAGGGAGAGTGGCTCTTCCAAACCTCTTGGAAACAGTCCCGCATACTATCAGCCAGGGAAGGAGGGAGGGAGGGAGGGAGGGAGGGAGGGAGGGAAGGAAATCACCTTTTTTTGGCTAGCCCAGCCCACCCTGGGGGCGGGGGCTGGTGTGGCATGTGATGCTGGGGATCAAACCAAGGTGCCTGTGTGCTTGCCTAAGCTTGCCTAAGCAGGTGCTTTAGACCACTGAGTTATTATTGCCAGCGGCATGAAGAAATCAAATAAATGCTGGCCATGCTGCAGGGGAAGAGGAGCAGTGCTGGTGGGCATGTAAACTACCACTGCTGCAGAGATCCGTAGGGGGATTCCCCCCCCCCCAAGGAAAGCTTGAAATGCCATTTGACTCAGCTCTTCCCCTTCTAGGTATCTTCACCATAGTGTTAAAGGCAGATTTTGGCGATCAACCATATTTATAGTGGCATGACTCATAATAGCTAAATCTACAAAGCAGCCTATTTGTCCGTTGGCAGATGAATGGATAAAGAAAATGTAGTTTATTCACAATGGAGTACTACTGTGCCAGAAACAAGGGAGCAGGGCACGGTGGTGCACACTTGTAATGCCTGCACTTGGGAAGCTGAGGCAGGAGAATCATTATAACATCACAAGTTTGAGATCACCCTGGGCTGCCAAGTGAGCGCAAGGCCAGCCTGGACTGCACAGAAAGGCCTGGTCTTTTTTTAAAAAAAATTATTTTTGTATTTGGTACAGGGTCTTGCTACATGCAGCTCAGACTCGTAGTGATCCTCCTGTCTCAGCCTCCCCAGTGCTGGGATCACAGGTATGTGCCATGACAGGCCTGGCATCATCTGCCTGGGGTTCTGGGGCTGCATGGCATGCGGTACCAGGGATCGAACCCTGGCCCTTGCACTTGCCAGACAGGTGCTTAGACCGCTGAGCTATCTCCCAGCCCAGCAAGACCCAGTCTTGAAAAAATGGCGGCACCTTCTGGCCACAGTGTTATGTGCAGTAAACGAGAGGCACAGTTTAAATATGATTTTTTTCCCCCCAGTGGAACTAGGGATTGAACTCAGGCCCTTGTGCTTGCCAGACAAGTGCTTATTTTACTGAGCTATCTCCCCAGGCCCTAAGTATGATTTTTCTTATATGAGAAAACCAAAATGTAAGTAAAGAGCAAGATAAGAGATTATAGCAAGAAGGGAGATGTTTTTCAAATGAGAAAGCGAAGAAGAAAAGAGGGAGAAAAAGAGGATGGAAGAAAAGAATTAGGACCAGGCATGGTGGTGCAGGACTGTAATCCCAGCACTCAAGAGGCTGAGACAGGAAGATCTTTGTAAGTTCAGGACCAGCCTGGGCCACAAAAGAGCTAAAGGCCAGTCTGAACTGCTTGGTGACACCCTCTTTCTTTCTTTCTTTCTTTCTTTCTTTCTTTCTTTCTTTCTTTTTTTTTTTCTTTCTTTTTCTTTTTTTGGTGGGAACGGGGATTGAACTCAGGCCCTTGTGCTTGCCAGGGAAGCTCTTATTCTACTGAGCCATCTCCCTGGCCCAAGAGACCCTGTTTCAAAAAGATTTTTTGAAAAAAGAATGAATAAAATGGAAGCAGAGGTTTTATAAATGGGAAGGGGATCAAGAGTTGAGGGGACCAGTGAGATAGCTTCGTGGACTAAAGTGCCTATTTAGGGAAGCTTTGGCAAGCATATGGACAGAGGTTTGATACCCAGCACTCCATGCTGCACCAGCCCTGTCCCCAGGGCGTAGAGGGGCACCCCTGTAATCCCAGCTCTGGGGAGACTGAAAGCAGGAGGATAACTACAAGTCTGAACTGCGTAGTGAGACCCTGCAACAACCAAATACATTTAAAAAAAAAAAAAAAAAAGAAAGAAAGAAAGAAAAAGAAAAAGAAAAAGAGGACTAGGGAGATGGCTCAGTGGAATAAGCACTTCCCTGGCAAGCACAAGAGCCTGAGTTCAATCCCTGGTTCTGCAAAAAAAAGAAAGAAAAGAAAAAGTAAAGTTGGAGGGGAAGGAAGAGAGGGATGGGATGGTAGGGGATGAAGGAAAAAACCGAGATGTGTTCTCTACACGTACTTTATTTCTTTATTAATTGTTTTTGAGACAGGATCTCATTTTGTACTCTAGGCTCAGCTCAAACTCATGGTGCTCTTCCTGCCTCAGCTTCCTCACTGCTAGGATTACAGGCATGCGTCATACCCAGCCAGCTAAGAAAGCCTGAAAATATTGAGTGTTGGAGTAGATAGGAGGCAATGAGCTAATAAACAGCAAAACAGAACAACAAAAAACCCTCCAAAAGCCCCAAACCCAAATGCCCAAGCAATGCCTGGTTCTCCTAAACTGACCTGGACAGCCACAGAGCCATGGCCGCCTGATGAAACCACTTTGACATGAGCTTTGCAGACTCCTCCTTCCCATGTTAAAATCAGTGTCCAGGGGCCGGGGAGATGGCTCAGTAGAATAAGTGCCTTCCCGGCAAGTGCAAGGAACTGAGTTCAATCCCCGGTCCCGGAAAAAAAAAAAAGAAAAGAAAATCAAGCATCCAGCCTCAGCCTGACACCTGGCCATGATCCTCCCTTGCATTCATCCAGTGCTTCATTTTCCTGTACTCCTTGACTATTAGGACTTCTTTCTTTGAAGACTGGGCCTCATTATGGAGCCCATCCTGCCTGGAGCATGTATCAATCCTCCTGCTTCAGCCTCCTGTGCCCCTTGGATAATTCTTTTTAACACCCACACCACCAGCCTCTCACAGGAGCTGATCCTTGGATGGCAAAACCCTCAACCTCGCCTTTGTTCTCCTTTTCTCTAAAATCCCAAAGCTTCTCTCCCCTGGAAGCAAATTTTGAAGCTCTCCCTGGGGCTGCCCACCCTGCCCCTGCTAAGCTCCTTTCCAGGGCTTCCCCAGGGCCTGGCTCCTGCAGGGGCTGATCTGTGCAGATCCACAGAATTCCTTTCCTGGAAAGCAGATAAGGCAAAGCCAGCAGTGGTCTGATTTTCCTAGCAAATTCCTTACATATCTAGTAGCCCGGTTCCTAGCTAATGTTTGGCAAATAAATGGTAACTCTTTTAATTCAACAGAACCTTTAAAAATTACGGTGTAGGTAGAGCATGGTGGCATACATCTATAATCCCAGCCCTGGAGAGGCTGAGGCAGGAGGACTGCCATGAGTTTGAGGCCAGCCTGGGCTACATAGTGAATAGAAGGCCAGCCTGCATGAATATGGCAACTGTTTCAAAAAAAAAAAAAAGAAAGAAAGAAAGGTTATGGTTTAGCAAGCCATTCGGATACAATACATTTTTCATCTGTGGGAATATTGTATCTAAAATCTCACTTCGCTGTTACTCTGACTGCTCAACTCAGGTTTTTTGCTTGTTTTGTCTTTTTTTTTTTCTCGGAACCCGGAATTGAACTCAGACCCTTGTGCTTGCCAGGCAAGCACTTATTCTACTGAGCCATCTCCCCGGCCCCTGTTTTGTCTTTTTGAGACAGGATCTCCCTATGCAGTTCAGGTTGGCCTTGGGCTCACTTTGTAGTTCAGGCTGGTCTCAAGCTTGCAATGATCTTCCTGTCTCAGCCTCCCGAGTACTGGGATTACAGCACTCACGCAACACCACGCCTAGCTTCAACTCAGTGTTTTTTGTTTTTTTTTAAAAGATTGGTTGTGGTAACGCTTTATCTGTTTTTCTTTATTTGTGGTACCAGGGATCAAACTATGGACCTTGCGTTTGCAAGGCAGGTGCTTATGCCGCTGAGCTATCTCCCCAGTCCCCAACTCAGTTGCTTTTTGTTTTATTTTGTTTGTATTTTAGGGAAGGGTCTACTGGGTGTTCAGGGTCGCACTACGAGATCTGACTCATAGTGATTCGCCTGCTTACAGCCTCCCAAGAGCTGGGATTACAGACGTGTGCCACCACCCA